GAGAGAGAGAGAGAGAGAGAGAGAGAGAGAGAGAGAAAGGAGGGAAAAGGGTGGGGAGGGATAAAGATAACCCGGTGACTTTCTTGCTGTTAAGCAGGTCCTGTCTCCTTTTCAGGATGATGAAGCCCACCAGACATTACAACCAACTGCAACAAATTCACCTGGCAGTACAACCAACGGCTCATCGTCAGTTCTTCATAGTCAGCCATGTTATGTTGTTCACTCTGGTGAAACGGTCCTCACAGCAGGAGCATCACACCCTAGACTGGACAGTCTCTCAGAGGGTAAAGCTGCAGTTCTGAAGGCCCCTGGCTTTGGGTGTTCACAAAGTTCAGTCCTGTTTGCTGTGATCCTTGGCGTCCTCCTCGTCTGTGTACTCTGATGGCTCTTCCCCTGGCTTTAGGAGTCTGCCTACATAATCATATTTTTCTGAAAAATACACCAAAACAAAGTCAGCAGTGCTTCAATTTGTTTCATGATTCCACTGTACTGCAACAAGAAGGCACGTGCCTCATAAGTCACACAGAACAAGCCGAATTCCAAACTTGACTTACATGCATGCAAGGTCTGAACACAAGACAAGGCAGCAGGATCTGACAAGGTTAGGGGTTGCTCTTCAAAGGAGAGCTCAGTGTCAGGGGTCTTAATCAGACACTACCAGCATTACTTGGATATTTAAACGTACACACATGGACTGTGTCAGAGCTGTCCAGCCTGCCTTCATGTATCACGATGCAATGTGGTTCTGTTTGTTGGTGGGAGGGCTGGAATCTAAGGCTTCATGCAGGTGCTGAGCTCCACCCCCAGTCCAATTCTTTTAAGCCTTAATAACCCAAAATATTACAGCTAAAAAAAAAAAATCAGATGTAGTGGTTCATACACATAGCCCCAGCACTTGGACTGCCATGAGTTTGAGGTCAATCTAGGCCATACACACACAACACATGCCCAGCTAGTATTTGGGATATAAACCATGCAGAAGAAAATAAGAGATCCTCAGGATGAAGGACTATGGGCTGATGGCAGCAGCACAGCATACAGGGTGGAGAACCACAGGGCAAGCAGGTCTGAGACATACTCTGGAGAAAAATGTGACAACGGGGTAGGGACAAGAACTTTTCTGGGCTCTCTAGGCCTTCAAGGCCCCTACCACACCATCACTCTTTCCCATACCAAGCTCTCTCCTTCGATTTGTCACTCTGCTAACTCTGATGTGTCTTCTGTTTAATTTAGAACCTTGTATGAGGGTAAAACCTGTTTGTTTTCCATCTGGAAATAAAACCTAGGCTACATGAATTAAAGTAAGACCAAGTTGACTAGCTGTGAGGAGTCTTAAGGTGGGCTCTGCACACAGGAGACAAGTGCCAGGAAGCCCACAGAGCTGCTCACAGACCCAGCAGGAGATAAATGGTGCAGGCAGCATCCTGAGGGAGGTAAGAACTGATACTGAGGGGCATGACAGAGGGGACAGCATTCCTTCCATACCATTCAAAGTTAAGAACAATTACATCATTTGCTATACATTGCCATTAGTGTTGATACCACTAATTCACCACTAATTCAGGGTTGGAACCCAGAGCACAAGGAGGTCATGCACAATCTACTATTGTGCTACACCCTAACCCTTCAGCTTGTTTTAAATACAAGTCTGTACTTAACAAATCGAAACCATTCCTTAATGAACAAGTCTTAGAAGACTACTGAAAGCATCACAATTTGAGACTGTTGGGCCCACAGGCATATGCTGCCATACCTGTTGGGAAGTATATATTCAAATACAGACTTTCAACCCAATTGCCACATGTAACAATTATATTAATATTTACTAGCATTTTAAATACATCCTAATGATAGAAATGAAAACAGACTATGTCCTTTAAAGCATGTGCAACAGCACATAGTTCTGCTTTCCCAAGGCTCCCCCAAATGAAGATACCTTTAAATTGCATTTCCCATTCTCGAACACTCTCCATTTGCACTGCATTCAAATCTGAGAGGTCATCATACTCATCTCTAAGTGCATCCTTATCCAGGCAGAATGTCGCCAGTCCCCTGGAGGCGTCCCTGCCAGCAAAGATGCCATATGGGCCCGCTAAAAAAGAAAAGACAACTTAGAGCCTGACACCATTTGAGAATGTGTCTGAACATCAGGTTCTCTCCTACTTGCTTTTAGTATACAACTTTAATTAAAAAAAAAAAATGGAGATTCTGGATGAGATAATCAGAGATTTGTTGGAAATTTCCCTTTTACCAAAGGGAATCGTTTTACTGAGAATAAATTCACTTCAGATACCCTGAAACTTGTATGTCAGGGAAGGAGGGATCTGTGGAATACAGCCCATGAGAGGCTACCTACCCATGCTCCAGCAGGTGGCCCTACACCCATGTACATACTGACAGCACTACATAGATACAGTGAGCATTAGAAAGCACATTAAATCAGGAGCAAAAAGCTGTGGTGGGGATAAAGAAGGAATTGGAGGGGAGGCAATGGGCTGGATTTGATCAAACATATCCTAATGTTCCTGTATGAAATTCTCAAAACAAAAAACAACTTTAGCAAAGCTCTTTCGTGTGTTCACGTGTATAGCAACGACAAGTATCTAGCTCAATCTCTCTGCCTCATTTCATGAGACAGTTTGTCTAATTAGTTCACTGACGTGGCTCAACTGGCTGGGTCAGACAACCCCAGGACCTGAGCTCCCCGCCTCCTCAGCATGAGCTTACAGGTAGCATGAGCTTACAGGCATGCACAACAGGACCTTTAATGCAGACGCTGGAGATCTGAACTCAGCCCCTCGCGCACACCTAGCAAATACTTCTACCCTACAACTGACAAATCTAACTGTTTACATCTGATACGGCAGAAGGGGCCCCAAAATATCCTTCTGTTCAAAATGTTTCTTAAAAAGACTTAAATGATAACAAGATTTCTAAAACATATAATTCTACAAAGACAATTTCAAGTTTATGAGCTTCTCTACAGATAGCAAAAGTTATCCTGAGGAAACAGTTTTAAAACCAGTTAGAGGCTCCACTCATGAACAGTCAGCTACTTGCCTGAATACTGTTAAGAATGATACTTATTTTTGTGTACGTGTTATATGTGTAAAAGATGTGGCCCCGAACAAGTGTAGTCAGAGAGCAAACTGCATCGTGCTTTGGGTCTCAGACCCAGACTCAGGTCGGGCAAGCACTTCATCCACTACTATGCCATCTCCCAGGCCCATGGAAACTATTAATTTAATAAAGGGGCTATTAGAATAAAGTATTGCCTAACTTAAAGAAAACAAGAGTAAAAATGCCTGATTTCTACATGAAAAATGACTACACCTGATCTCATTTGAAAGCATTTAGGAAGCCGGGCAGTGGTGGCGCACGCCTTTGATCCCAGAACTTGGGAGGGGGAGGCAGAGGCAGGCAGATTTCTGAGTTCGAGGCCAGCCTGGTCTACAGAGTGAGTTTCAGGACAGCCAGGGCTATACAGAGAAACCTTGTCTCGAAACACCCCGCCCCCCAAAAAAAAGCCAATTCTTGCCGGGCGGTGATGGCACACGCCTTTAATCCCAGCACTTGGGAGGCAGAGGCAGGTGGATTTCTGAGTTCGAGGCCAGCCTCCTGATCTACAAAGTGAGTTCCAGGACAGCCAGGGCTACACAGAGAAACCCCATCTCGAAAAACCAAAAAAAAAAAAAGAAAGAAAGAAAGCATTTAGTAAACTCCAAGTTAAGTGTTGGAAAGTACCCACACCTTCTGAGACAAGAGACCAAGTCTCACCTAAACAGAACACCTTACCACCTCAAGGAGTTACTTCTTGTAAACATGACTAGGGCAGGAAGCTCATTCTGGAAAGGTCTAGTACCTGGAGCTGGGATGGCTTTCCCAAGTGTTTAAGTAGCTTTTTTAGGTCCGGCCATGAAGGCAACAGGTGTGTGGTACTTCCAGCTTCTTTAGTTATAAGCATTCTCCATGTTACCAATGGGCATTAGGTAACTATCACAACTTATAACTAAGTGACTATATTTTTTTCACTGAATGGATACACTTATGGTTTAACTATTCTCCCAACAATACATTGTTTTGTTCCCTCAAATGTGTCTTCTATATAAGAAAATGAATACTCTATCACTGGTCAACATTTATGACTTTGAAACTTTGCCTATGATCTCAATTGACATTCAAAGAGTATTAAACATTTAGAAAAATAAATTGAATATAGTTTTTACTTGGAGAATACAATTCAAAAGTTCATTAAATTAGGGTTAAATATTTTAGAGGAAATGTGAACTTTTAAAAGTAAGCAAGAATGATCTGACCTTCAGCCTCCCACTCCCTTTGTGCAGAATTCTATCTACTTGTAGAGACAAACATAAGTAGCAATGAACAGTAGTGAGGGTGGGCTTTTGTTTCTGGACAAAAAGATGACCAAAGCCTAAGAGCTTAAAACAGCAGCAAATGAAACAAAGAAAGAATATTAAAAATGACTAGAGAGCAGCAACCTTGAAGAGAAAATGACTTTCTACTTTTTTTAAAGGATTTCCCCATAACTTCACACTTTGGTCCTTCAGGATTTCATGAAGAACAGATTTTGCCTTTTCCCACACTTGGCAGACTAAATACATACATACATACATACATACATACACACACACACACACACACACACACACACACACACACACACACACTCTCAAAGCACAGCGTTCAGTGACCACCTAGTTCCCAACAGGACCAGGATGATATCTCCACTTTCCTTACCACTCCAAATCCTTGCCTCAAAGAAGCAGGGTCCCCACAAGCTCAAAGAGCTCAAAGAGCACTCACACCAAGATCCCCGCCAAGGCGCTCCTCAGGCTTTACTATTTTCAGACAGTGTCACCAGGATGCCTAGGTTGGCCTTCAACTCTGTAGAGTCATAAAAGGCCTTGAACTTGCAGTCCTCTTGCCTGGACCTCCCATGTATCTGATCTGCAAGCTTGTACCTGTGTCCTGGACATCACTCTGCAGTCGGGTCAGAGTGTGAACCCTGAGACATGTGAGAGCACACAGGCACCGCAGGCCCAAGGGCAGTCCTCAGCACCATAAAGCAAACCAGCAAGCTACCAGACAACCCTCAGGCTTTGAGTATGTTAACAGATATACCAGTGGGTTCTCAAGTAAATTTCTCTGCCAGCTTCCCTAAGGGTCAGCTTTGAATGAATTGGTTAATCTTTTGTTGCTAAAGTTGGTTTTTGTCAACTCATTAAAAGAAAAGACTGAGTAACACATTTCTCCACTCCATAAACTACATTAATGTGCCCCTTCCCATGCACAGACTTCTGAGGAAGCCATCTACAAAGGAGTCTTTACTGACATGTTCTTTGCTCTATGATATAAGGCCACTGAGGAACCTAAGCAGACTAAGTATAAGGGGAATTGTCTCTGTCAGTTTGTCTGACAGAGGGAGGTTTAGAAGTCTGGCAAAGAGTTGTCTTCCTTCCTTCATAACACAAGGAGCAATCCCTTCCCTTTCAGATGCTCTCCATAACAAACAGTATCATCAGCAATAGCATTTTGCGGTATGTGACTGTTCATAAAACAAATAGAACAAAAATGGGGGCTACCCACGGAAAGCACATCTGATCTAGTGTTAAACCTCTGATATGATTTACTGAAATAGCAAATGCTGTTTTCTGAGTGTCAAGACTCACGTAGACATTATGATGATCCCCAACCAAGTAATCAGCTGACCTAACAGCTGTTTACTTTATGATGGTGAATGTACTTGGAATTCTGATTGCTACCTGGACTAGTAATAGGTAGAACACTCAGTGCAGCGCCCAGGCAGCCATGAGATGAAGAATTCATAAATTACACTACAGTATAAAATGCAAGGTGACTGTGTTCAACTATAGGCTAATGTGAGTGTTGTGAATATGTTCAAGCTATGATGCTCCATAGGGTAAGTGGATTAGATACATTTTTGACTATTTTCTCTTCTCATTATGTAGCCCTGGGTGGCCTCAAACTCACAGAAATCAGTCTGACCCTACTTGTATCTAACTGTGATTAAGATTTTTTTAAAGTTCAAAATCAATAAACTCAGCTGGGTGTTGTAGGCAAACTTATAATCTCAGCATTCTGGAGGTGAGGGCGGGAGGGGTTTGAGTTTGAAGTGAGACAAACAAAACAAGAAAAAAAAACAAGACAAAAGTCAATCAACTCATTAGTTATTAATCCCTACAACTGCTTACTTTTGATACAACCAAGCAGAATGCTGAGACATATTTTTGAAGCAGCAACAAACCATCATATGCATATAATGAGGATACATATATATGCTCATTATGAAACAGTGATATAAAATAATAAACAGGAAATGTGGTAAGTAAAATCTATAGCAGACGATCTGTTTGGCTGTAGGATGATAAAGAGTAAACTCCATGAGAAACATTTTGGTCATTTCCATGCTTCTCCGAAGCTCCTGGAAATGCAGGCAGACAGCTTACACCCTCATCAGGGAAACGCCAGGACTGTAGAGCCAGCATGGGAAAACTGAAGAAAGTTTCTGTCAAGACAAGACACTTACAGGCTTGAGGGGCCGCACACCAAGTGACACAGATGCTTCAAACACAACACAGAGAAATTATCTACTAAAGTTGGGACGAGATTAGATGCTTCACTACACATGACTGAAAATCCCATCTTGTTTCTGAATGTCCAATCACAAGGCTTAAGCATACAGAAAAGTGTATCATCTGCAGGAAAAGGGCAAACTAGAAAGCCACCACGTTAAAAGACAGAGCCCATGCATGTCTCATATGGTAACTATAGATTAAAGCACAGGCACACACGACCCAAAGTAGAATGAGGACAAAAGGAAGGGAAAGGAGTGAAGTATGAGGCATACCTTACACAAAAAACAAATCTGAATACATAAACCTGCATGTTCGTGGTCTAAGATACTCTCAGGGCTAGATGATGAAGTTCAGTGGTGGAGTACTTGCCTAGCACGAGAGAGGCCAATGCCTAGTACCACACACACCAAAGCAAAGAGAAAAAATGCTATGGAGGGCTAGTGAGGGGCTCAGCAGGCGAGGGTGTATGCCAAAC